AGTGCTCAACTATTCTCGGCATGCAGTGCTGCTAGTTCAAGAAAACCGCCATTCAGAGTCAGACAAAATTCCAAATGGAAGAACTGGCTTGCTTTCTATTCAGGAGTTGAAACTGGAATGGAATTGGCCACATCTCACAGGATGTTGAACTGGAATTTACAGGAAGAGGAGTTTACTAAATAGAGTATACAATGTTTCTTAACTAATTAAATGAACTAATACATACTGTCAGAACAGCACCACAAAGTATCTTTTTTGAGTACATTTTAGAAAAGTGTTGTTCTACCATAGTCTACAAAATGAAAGTTTAATATAATAAAATACATTGATTATTAAAATCATATTTTGGAATGATAACATATTTATGAGTAAGTCATACTGAAAAGTTAGTAATATGCAAATAAATGTACACTTACAACAGTCCTTAAATTCAAATTTGATGCTTTCATTCAAAAATATTTTAATTTCACCATATTTGCTTCTACAATTCAAATTCAAGAACATTTAAGACATTCTCAATTTAATTCTGGATGGCACACAACCCTGCTGTTGCCATTTCAGGCTGGTTTGTCTCTTGGTTGTCTTGAAAATGATGCACAGGTGTTTTTGTTTCATTTTTATGCCAAAGGCTGGGTTAGAGTCAAACTCATCATTATGATTTTTGGCAGTCCTGGTACAATTGCACAACCCATTATGACCACAAAACAATAGCTATTCACAAATAAAAAGTACAATTACATTTCTTCAGGAGTTTTCTGCTTTTTTCTGGGTTACACCTTGAATTATTGCTTCACTGAGTGCAATGAAATTCTTGCTATGTATGTAGTCATTGTGCAGAGCGAGTTTAGCAAGATATGAATTAATAAATCTTTCACAACTTTTCTGATATATCTGAAGCTTCTGCTACCTCTCAGGCAGAGTGTTTATGGTACTATCATTGCCTTCGTTCTCCCTATAATGTTTCTCTCTCCTATATATCAGTGAATCAAATAATTTATCAGGGGCTACGTTTGACAGGAAGCATAATACCCTCTTCCCTTTAAGTGCAACCCCCTCTGAAAGAGCTATTCTCTGCCATCCCTCTCTGAAGAATATTTACCTTTCATCTTTTTCTCTCACAACCCTCTATTTATTTTACTCCCCAAACTGACAGTTATTGTTGGGCTTTCATAAAAGACAGAAATGTCTCTGTTCTAAGATAGACAACAAAACACAAGATAATTTCAGGGAGTATCAGAAAGAGTATGAATTACCTAGAGGTCAAAGTAAACTTGAGTATTTTGATTATGTTTCCTTCTGAACACTGACAGTACACCCTGTCACATCTAATACCAAGTATATATTCTGTGTATGTAGCAGCACTGCTTTGTCATGTTTACATTATTTGAAGTGCAGTTTTATTGTGTATCCTTTTTCAGGGGTGATTTTTTTCCCTCTTTTATGCCTTTATATCAGATTTCAACCAATATGGCATATTTACAGCCCTGCTACATAAGATCTGATAGGATACACTTTATATAATTTCACTGGAGAAACCATATCTGGCAGAATTTATCTGATTTCTGATATACTGTATATCATGTAGTTGAGGTTTTTAAGTAAACAGTGTGGTGGATTGAGATATCCACATTTAAATGGAAAGAACTTCACATTTTAGAAAAAGAAATAACTCAAAAGTGAGATTAAAGAAGTTATTTTATGAAATTATATATTTTTCTTAATATGATATGTGTTAGACAAATAAATGCACATTACCGTAACTGTGTCATCCTAAGAAAAATACATTTATTTATATAAAATACATAATTTTTTACATTGCAGTATTTCACAATATTTCAGTTTTTATTACATTTTTGGACAAATAAGCATAGCCTTGGCATATGAGATACATATTAGACATTGGTGTAAGGTAGATCCTTGATAAAGCGAGATTGTGGACGCCACAGAAGCACATTTGGGATTTACACATCCTTCTAAAAATTTAATGTCTCAGTGATGGTCCAAATATTCACAAACCTTTTGTTTTCAGCACTGCCAAGCAAAGTTAAGTCTTTGATCTCTCTAACATACAAACAGTCTTTGTATGTAGCTGTGATTGCGTAAGCTGTCAGAAGAGATAAGACTGTAGATATAACATAAAGCATAAGGGAAAAGACAGGACTGTCCCGGATGGTATACCTGATACTGACAGATATCGAGACGCTGATGGATTAGAGGGTAAAATCAGACATGCATTTCAGATTATATGACTCCCACACATTCATTATTGAGTAGCTTGGGTTCAGATTGATCAGGGATCTCGCTGCTGTCTTTCTCAGGTCGCTGGATTTCGATCTTCCCCTGAACTCGAAACATACCTGTCTGAATAACATTACAAAGCCCTCGAGCCTCCACTGTCAGTTCTTACTTTGTAAGACATCAATATGAAAATGGATAGATTATATCACATGTTTATATAATCAGAGAAAGACATGGTAAACACTTGAAAATATCTCCTCCAGGACCTGATTAATAACATAAAGGTAAAGTTAAGATGACGGTGAGATGCCCTGTTGCAAGTGGCACACTTGATGTGGATGGCATTGGTCTTGCTAGATTCTATTTAGGGGGCTTTAGCTTTCTTGTCTTTCATGTGAGCTCCTATAAAAGCTGCCAGGAATAAAGCTATAAAAATCTGCTTTTTGATCTCTCTTCATGTTTGCCAAAAACACACACACGCACACGCACACACACACACACACACACACACACACACACACACACACACTTCTGCCACAAAAAAAGGTGTGGTAAATAGTAAGAGTAGTAGGCTTATGCTTTAGAATTCAATGAGACACTTGTTTTATTATGGAATAAATCAGCATTTTTGAGCAAATTTAAATGATTTAAAACATGGGATCTCTTGCATAAGAAATATAGCATATTCAAGCCTGAAATCCTAGAATATTTTTTATTGTATTATGAGTAACACAGCTAACAAAAATATGTTTTAAGAACATACATTTTGCTAATGTTCCCATTAAGTTCATTAAGTTATGAACATTCAAAACGGCCAGTTTATTTTTTAAAAACATTTAAAACCTCCCCCCCCCATACATTATGGGGATGTTACTTTTGACAGAACATTCTAAAAGAAGTAGTGCATTAGTAGTGAGGGCATCATCTGAGAGGTGCGATGGAAGTTGATTATATCTTTGTGTTCCGATCAGCATAATTAAATCAACATACGCCTGTCATCCTTCATTTCGCTCTTCTTATAGATGAAAGAACCCATTCTTAGACGACTCGGACTGACTAACTGATCGACAACCATAGGCAGCAAGAGCGAGTTATCAGTGTCACCCTAAAGTGCGCTCTTATCCACAGAGATCTGTGAACTGGTATCTCTCTTAATTCAAGCCATGCTAATGGCTCATTAATATGAGAGTCATGGGGCTGTCGAAGACATGGCGCAGCGCAGAGCTAAAGGACACTAATCCCCATTGATTAGAGTTCTCAGATCAAAGGCTTCCAGCGCTGTCACTTCACCTCTATTCTCCCTTACCCACTCGCGCCACAATTAGGAGCCCTCTCAGCGTTTCATTAAGATGTTAAAAATACCAAGTCGCCTCCCCCTCAAGGGACCTAGTCACTGAGACACATACCGAAATCCTCATTTACCATTGTGAGAAACAAACCGTGGCATCTCCCTGAACATTTCAATCAGGTGGTAAAGCCCCACTCATGCCTGCAGTACACAAAAGCAAATGCTGAGTCCTCAGTAACCCTGGACTCTGCTGTGCTTGCAATGTGTGATAATGAGCTCATCGTCCACCAAGGATGAAAAAAGTACATTTAATTAGCAAGAGAAAGGTTGTTTTTTCCCCTTTTTTTCTTGAGACAATGCATAGACTCCAGAAAACAATAACAACAACAAAAAAAATAACTTAAGTGAGCTCAACAGCAATAATTACAGGCTTTAAGTAAGGAGTGCAAATTCACAGGGCATCCCTTGATGTGTAAGTGAAATCTGTCAAAGGACATTTTTAAAAATAAATCTTTGACACAGATAAGAAGAAAGAAGACAGGAAATTATAGGTAATTATTTAAATTAGCATGTTAAAAAACACTGCCTCTTATTTTCTGTCACTTTTTATAAATATCAGTTAAAGGATAAGAAATTATCGTGTGTGTGTGTGTGTGTGTGTGGCCTGGTGTTCCCTACGATATGGGCAGAGCTGGATAGATTACTTAGAAGTTGTAGTCTGTTACTGATGTTCCAAATTACATGACAAAAATTGTAGTTAGTAACTACATCCATTGCATTACACATTTCAGGTAATGTAATCAGACTACTTTTTGATTACTTTTAGATTACTTTTGACCTTAATTGTTTATCACATTGAATTAAATAGGATAATCTTGTACCATATTGATACAAAAATACAAAGAGTAAGAAAAATATATTCCATTCATTGTAATTAATAACATGAAACATTACGTTACGTCAAGGTTTCCCAAACTGGGGGTCGTAAATTAACTGCAGGGACTACGTGAGTTTAATGGAAAGCTAATAATTAATTAAATTATAAAAATGTAAAATTAAAATAAGTCATTTTAGAATAACATCAATCAAAATAAAACACTTACTAAAAGAATAATATATTTTATTTGTTTACATACATGTCCTGTGACCATTAACCAACAGAGAACTGTGAACATGCAAATGTGATACTTATTAAAATATTTATTTTAAAATCTCAGGGGTACTTCAAGTAAATATATTAGGTGAAAGATGTTCAGATGACAAAAATGTTTGGGAATGCCTGCATTACATGGAAATAGGAAATAATGTGAATTTGGGAATACAGTTTGTACAGTATAAAAATCATTTTTTTATATGGAATGTCCCCATAAAATATGGAAACACAACATATGTGTGTGTGTGTGTGTGTGAATAGAAGAAATACAGCTGGAAGAGATATATTAGAACTGCTCCCACATACTGAGTCTTATCTTACCTTAAGTGCCAGTGCTGATGCTCTTCCTGTCTCACCACACAGAAGGATAATCTGCACCTGGTAGAATGAGGAAACGGATCACTGAATTGAGCCATACATATGCATTCATGCATACTCCCAGCAGGTATTCATAAATTTACTTGTGCACATAAAACACATCCATGAAACAATCATGTTCTAAGGCAACATTTTTTCCAGTTGGGTTCTGACTTCAAATCTTAAAACTCTTGAATTGTAAACAAAAATCTCAATAAACAATAAATAATATATTATATATTAGGGAATATTATATGACATTATGAAACAGATTTGTTCAAATACACTGATTCATTTAGGAATGAAACAAGCAGCTGTTTTTTTTTCTTTGAATGAGTCATTGAATCACTCACTCAGCCAAAACACTGCTTCTTTCAGGAATGAAACACCACAAGTGTGCAGGCCTAACCACCAAAGACATTGATGTCTCTCTCTCTGATTTTTTTCCTCTACAAAAAACCTAGGTTGATCTGCCTCAGCAGTCCAACAGCACTTGCCAATGTCAAAAGGTATGATTCTGTTTAGAGAAGCCGGACATGAAAACCAGCACACCTCTTCGGTTTTAATTGTGAGATAAGCTGTAAGTAGATAAATATTTCAAATCCGACAACTGTGTTATGATAGAAATGACCAACAGTAATATGCAGTGATGTAAACAACTCTACATTTTTGGTCAGATTCCTGTGAATTGAAAATAACCTTCATCATTACCTTTTAAGTTATATGTGTAATTTGTAATTGAATTTGACTAGACAAGAAACATTTACAGAGCCATTTTGACATAAGATTAGGTGAATATGTGCTTCTATAAAGAAATTTCATTTGAAGATAGTTAAAATGCATTTCTTTTACTGTTTGTCTTTTTCTTTCTTTATTCCCTGCTTATTACAAACTATATTCCTTAATCTACACGAAGTAACTGTTAATATTATGTCTAAAATATAACATAATACTAACCTCTAGTTTTTTTGAACTGTTGTATAGGCTATGAGCATGTCTGTTTTTATCAGAAGCTATTTTCTCATTAGTGTGGCCATAATCTTTGTATTTCTTCCTTAGGGAGAGATGTTGTTCACCAAAATAAAGCCAATTTATTTCTGGCTTCGCTTGTCAGCAGTGAGGTTGAACAAATGTGAAAGATTATGGTATTTAATTTTCTTTCTGACCGTAGCACGATGTCATTACAGGGATGGCTTTAGGGTAGACTGGGGCTTAATGCTGTTCTCGAGAGATGTAAATTAAGTGCATACTTCCTATAACACAATTCTGCCAATATGCATATGGATATTGATCGAGACTTCTGAATGAGTAGACCCCAGTGCACGTTTCCCCTGAGGACACATGCCATGTCTGAACTGATTTGAATATTTAGTCCTCTATGCAAACAATTCAGAATTTGTAGAGGCTAATGTAAATAAAAATAAATAAATAATGAAAAAATATATTAATAAATAATAATACACAAATATGCTGTGTCTCCTCCCTCAGAGGCAAATCCACAGAGGCATTTGGGAAGCGCAAGTAAGCAAACTTTATGAATGTAAATAATTTCCCAGAGAGCAGAGGATGCAGGAGGCAGGCCGAACAAAAATAGTGCTGCGTAGGCACAAAAAATGGATCCACAAAATGAATACATGAATAAAATCGAGCATGCTCGAAACAAATATGCTCTATCCATTCAACGGTATGCCAAAAAATCTATGTGAACCAACAGTGTTCCAGCTCCAACAGATGTCAGTGCTCATTTTCTGGCTCACCCTTCATCATTACTCACAACCTGTGAAGCGCTACAATCAACAGTGTGGCCAGTTCGCTTGCAGTAGCTTTTCAATTCTTGTTCTCCTAAAAAGAAATGTAAAAAATTCACGAAGGACCAATATGAAACTTCTGAAGCTTCTGTTTTTCCCACCCACACTTTTCCTTCACTGTTTGAACAGGACAAATACTTTTCCCATATGATTCATGGGCCTCACTGTTTGCTGCAGCCTAAACATGACAGAAGTCCAGTGCCTCACATCCAGTCCCTGTGCTGGAAGTTATGTCAGTGAAGCATCAGAGAGAAGGATCACCATGGCACCAGTTCTCTGTGAATCACAGCAGACTCGCTGTAATTTGTTATCTTTCGGAGATCCCATTTCCGATGTGTTGATGCAGCAGATAGATTCCCATACTGTAACCATTTATCACCTGTCACTGGAAACTGTTGTCACACTTTTTTTTATCTTTCTGCAGGAAAAAAAATCAGCTTTGAGAAATGCTCTTTGCAGAAGCCAAGAATCATAAACTCTGACAACATAGAGTATGAAAATACAAACAATATACAAAATACACGGTTTACATGTATTCATGTCAAAATAAATGTAAACACTGTAGTACTACTGTATATTATGTTTACAACTGTGTTGGTTTGAGCTCAGCTATAGTCATGCTCAATGAACACAGATAATTAGTCATCTTAAAAGTATTATACATTTCCTGGTAACTTTTTGACAGATTATAAAATGAGTAATCCCACGAGTGTCCTCATGTCAAGAGTATTTTAAGTTAAATTGTCTTTATTTTTGTCATCCTGCCGTATTTGAGTGGTGCATAAAATTACAGGTTTTTTTTGCAGTTTGTTATCAGAATTAGCAAATGGTTTTGTAATGTTCTCATTTCATTGTCTTCACAATAAATAACAAGGTCACTTGCAAGAGAATGACACAATTTTATGGGAATGCAAGATTTCTTTATACAATTAGGTTCAACAAACTGGTGCACATTAAATTAAGTCAGCCAAAAAAAAAAAAAGATCATTAATTTATATAATAAATCATTTGTTAGGTTTTACAGTGATTGATTAAGTATTGACGCTTGCTTAAGTGTCATTGCTTAAATATTGCACAGTAAAAATATGGTAATGAAAACGGCACATGTTGTTCATATTGCTGTAATTGTGTTTTCAGAAGTGAAAAATGATTCGCATATGGAATGGTGATGTTCAATTAAATCTGATTAAGATTAATTGCTTGTCTTGGAATTAAAAGTGAAAATGCTGTTTTGCTCAATGAGTTAACGGAAAGGGTGAAGTCTTAGCGCCCCATTGCTCAATGATTTATGAATCCTTTTGTAGTTAAATGTTAGATTAGAATGTTAAAAGTCATCTTTTAGTAAAGTTGCGCCATGGTTCTTTTCTATTTGTAAATTACATGTCATTTAAGTGTGCCCTTAGCCTTACTCTGTTTGGACAGCAAACTTCCTTTACTTTGGTCAATATGTCTAATGGTTCGAAATGATTAATGGAAGTGTCCTTTTTGCCTTCATATAAATGATTAAACAATAATGAAGTTATGAGAATGAAATAGAATTATCAGAGCAGCAAATTCAACAGGTCGAACAATGTCTTTTGTTGCATTCGAGTTTCTGATTAATCTATCGCCACACCCTCCCATTTAGAAAGGTCTACTGCAAAAATGCCTGAATCAGCGTTCTGACTGCAACCATTGCCACACCTCAGAGCTTTGATATAAAACCTGTCAAATTTTAATTACTATTAGTTTCATGCTTGGGTTTTTATGATCGACACTTCTGATAATGAATTTCATTCAGCAGTTACAGACTGTGAATAAGGAATATGTTTCCTGTGCAAGACAGTGGGTAATATTCATCTTCCTCACTCTCTTTAGTCCAACATAACGAATCACAGGATTTTAATTTCTCACGAATTGGCAATTCCTTGTTAAAATGGTGATGCACATTGAATGAGAAAGAATTGGCTTCCCCTCATCCATGGCTAACTTCCCACATTCCACCTAATCCAAAAACAATGCTTTAAAAAAAAATAAAAAAAAATAAAATAAAATAATAATTAAAAAAAAACAAATTTCCTTCTGTTTCTGTCAAAGACTTTTTTTATGTGGTGAGTAAATGTGCACATAGTAAATATACATTCGCAATGAAATTTCACTTGCTATTTTTAGCCTGGAAGAAAAGTTGACAATGTTGAAAAGAGCTTTCATCCTTGGAAGCTGGATTACTTTTTACCCTTTTGCTGAGGCCTCAGGATCTTTTCGGAGTGCTTTTATCTTTAATGTTTTTCTGAATTGTGAGACTGAGTTGAAGTAGCGCCCTTCACTAGGCAAAGTGTCAGCCTACACCTGGTGAAGCTATGACATCAAAGAAAGCCAAAATGGTTTTAAACATAAAACCTTGAAAGTAGAAAGCAAAAAGTTTTGACCTGCTCTTTGCATTCTGACGAGAGCGCACTATTCAGTGTAACACAGAAGAACAGAGTAAGCCTCGTGAGTACACAGGCTTATTCTGTTCTTCCGTTGCACTCATCGGAAAAGGCTTCTATCAAAAGAATATAAAATGGCCTGGGAGTCTGAAACTTAATGTGCAGGGGGTTTGCAGTATCTTATTAAAAGCACTTTTATGCCTCGTGGCTTAACCAACATCAGCTTTATTGTCTAAGGAGGTCAGAAACCGTCTTCCATCACGCATCACAGAATCTGAATATAGAAAAGCAGGAGTGTGGTGTTATCTCTCAGAACTCAGCAGACACCAAATCTGATACTCATTCCTTTATGCTAATAAAGATAATAATGTAATAGTTTAAGTCCGTAGAGTCTATCAGGCACAGGATTTGTTATCATGCAGGCAATTTATAATCTAGAGCAGTGCTACATAAAATTGTACAAATACAGTATATATAAATATACTATATAATATGAATACATCTTGTGTCTTATTTAGCGACTGTAGTGAAAAACTTCAACTGGAAAGACTGATTTTTTTTTGTTTTGTATAGTGTAATGGATTATTTGTTTCAAGTTTTAAGATAACATACTGGTAACACCTGCTGACCCCTACCCCAGCCAATAGGGAACGCTGGCTAATGTTCTGGCAAAGTTCTCTCAAAGTTATGAACAAAAGTTTTTCCTTTGGCATTAATAGAATCTTTATTCAAAGTAATCTTGACTTTAATAATGTTCTCAAAATGTTAGCACGAAAACATTATTATTTATTATATACAGTATATT